GAGGGTATGGATCTGCAGGCGGATGTCCATCCGTTTTCCAAGTACACCGGATGGCTCAACCCCACAAGTATCCACCCCATGCGCCTCACCCTAATTATGACAGAAGCGTTTCAAGCTGCAAACGCTCCTCAACCAGAAGCCCTTACCGGCGCTACCCACCTCAGGTAGTGGGAGTTGGTGAATGATGCCAAGGTAGCTACCTTTGAAAAGGATCCGTCTGGTCACTTATAAACTTAGCCACCAAAACTGAAGCCCTAAGCTCTAAACACTGCGCCTCATCAGCGTATATATTATTATATGTCAATTCATTCTGGAGTTGTGAGGAGAGCTTCGCCCAACAAGGCTGACAAGTAAGATCTGATCTACAATCCCTGATTTTGAGGCGTAATGCCGATCAAGCTATTCTGTCAAGAAAATCACTGTCATCATGCCACATCATGGCTGTTAGATGTGATGCTGCGGGCACGGCGATCGAAGATCTACATCTCACTCTTTCCCGCTGCAAGCAACCCCGCCAAGCTACAACCCTGCTGAATGTAGGGACCTGTTCAATTGGAATGGGGCTTTGCGTACCACATACAGAAATGAGATACATGTATGCCTTAAGTACCTTAAGATATGTACATACGGGTTACGAGGGAATAAATTCGGAGCCTCAATCCACGCAAACCACAAAGCTGACACACATGATTTGGGTTGCTGTTACGCAACTTAAACTAAGTCACTTAAATGGGTGTATATTTGCACACTTGCTGTAGACTGCGGAATGCAAGGCATATGTCTGGAACATGCAGCCAAAATGGCCTTGCCATTTTGGCTCAAGCTTGTGGACCATCGGTCCTTCAAAATTTGGAAAAAGCCCCCATTGCTTTCTACGCATCACTTTTTGGAGTCATGTCTTCCTCCTCTATGCCTGCTGCCGATGCCGCGGCTGCTGCTGCTGCTGCTGAGCCAGTGGCGATTCAGCACGTTGATGTGGAGATGTCAGGCAGCGAGAGCGAATGGATCCAGATCAAGGACGACGCCATCATGGTCCATGACAAGGCCATTCGGGAAGAGCAGGAGACCACTCCCTTTTTGCTTGAGGCCCAGGTGGTCGAGTCTGACGACAAGCCTCTGGCCGAGAAACTGCAGGAGATGGAGGGTGCCCTGGCCAAGCTGTCCGTGGGCAAAGAGGGCAAAGACAAGAAGCAGCTGGCGTTTGACGATGATGCCGAGATCATCGAGATTAGCCCCCGTAAGCCGGTGAAGAAGGATGCTGCTGCGGCCTCAACCACGGGTGCCTTTGGCCCCGAGGAAGAGGTTGGCGCTTCGGCTTCCTCGGCCATGGAGACCGACGCCATTGACCCCAATGCGCCGATCCAGTTTTAGCCCAAGGAGTCCGGCCTCTATGCCATGCCCTACGTGGACGAGGCCACCAAGAAGCTAGCCCGGGGCATTACCAACGACGACGCGGCTACCTTGTGCTACAAAAAGGAGTGGGTGCGCTTGCGCTTTGTGTGTGCTTTTCGTCGGTCATTTTCACGCTGTTATCTGACGTATACATATATATATGTCATGTAGAAAATATTAGGGTTTCCCCAATATAGTAACTTAAACTAAGTTCCCTAACAGCAGCCCAGTTGAGGAAGCTCACAGCCATGCCACGTCCTTTAATAAAAGGATTTTGGTAGCCCCAACCCCCCAAATTAGGACCCTATAACCATCATATGATAATCATAGGGCCCTAAGTTTGGTGGGCGGGGTTACCTAAATCCTTTTGATATCCTCCACCCCTCACCATCAGCGCCTTCCCTCCCTCGTGCCCGCCCATGTGCCCCAGAAACAGCACAGGGCAGGATGGAGTCTTCGGCATTGCGCTAGCCCGCTCCTGCTATAACAGCCTCAAGAACCCAGCAAATCTACAGGGTCTAGGTGTAGATCAATCAGAGAATTTAGCACGCGCACCGATACCGCATAGCATTCGGTCCGGCACCCATACTGTGTAGGACGTGTCTCCACCCTCTGTTTCAACCCCAAGCCCTGAATGCTCGACGCTGAGCCCTCTTCACCTTTAACTTTCAACTTTAGACCCCAAAGCTCTAACACTATAAAACCCTCATATAACCCCTATATAACCCTAATATAACCTCTAAATTATTCCAATATAACGTCAGTCACCCCAAAGCCCTAAAAGCCCAAAGCTCGTCAAAACGTCATGGGCCAAGGCGAATGGATCAACTCTGGGAGGATGAAGCTCAGCGTAGAGTGGTTTTGTGGTTTGGGTTCAAGTTTCCCAAAATTAGGTGTACTTTTTTGGTGGGTTATAGGGGTTATATAGGGTTTAGGATTTAGGGTTTAGGGTTTCCCAAAAATTAGATGTACCTTTTTGGAGGTCCCCCTAATAAGGACTAGAGTATTTTGGGGTCTATATTGGGGCCCCTATTTTAGGGAAAGTATCATGCATGCTTTTTTTGGAGGTATCCTTCCCACCCTTCCAGGCTGCTACGGTGGGGGTGGCGTTCTAAGGGCTAGGTAATGATCGAGGGCGCAAAGTTCATGCCCAACACTGCGTGCTAAATTCCTGAAGCCTCAATCTGGGTTGCTGTTAAGGAACTTAAATTAAGTTTACCATAATGGGTATATATAGTAAATAAAAGGGTTTCCCCAATAAAGTAACTTAAATTAAGTTCCTTAACAGCAACCCAGCAATTCCAAACTCCAGCCTTCATTTCAATGTAGTCACAGCCACGTAGTCCTCGGCGGTTAGAGTGATCCCAAATAGTTCCCCTCCTGTTTGAGCAATGTTGTCAGCAGACACACAATGTACATTGTGTTGTGTGCGTGGCTCGTATGACGAGCAGGCATCCAGCACAATGATGTACAGCGTGAATGTGCGTGGCAATAGACCCCAAAAAACAATAAGCCTCAAGTCATACCGATCCGTACAGCCTTAAACGTAAAGCTCATTGACCATGAGATGAGCGTAAACCAAAACAGATGAAGCATCAAATCCTTGAGCATATGGGCACTTGACCCGCAAATCCTAAATTGCAAGAGTCCCTACTTAAGTGCCACCGTGTTTCAGAAGCTGCCATGATTTTTCTCAGAAGTTCTGACTGTGGGCTCTTTTTGTGAGAAAGGTTTTGATGTCCCAACTTCCCACGTGAACGCAAAGGTTGGGAACCTAAGCCTGAACCCTACATCATTGAAGCCAAGGTGCAGCAGGCTCCGCACACTTTTGAGGCCAGACTGCTCAGGGTTTGGGATTTTGGGTTTCAGGCATTAGAAGCTCTAAACCCTTATCAATGGAGTTGTAATTCTTCGGGCCTGCTACGGGAAGACCGACGTCCGCACACTAACGTCGCCAAAGCAAACAAAACTCCTGCTGATGATGAAGATTTGAGAGTCGACACAGAACCTTGAAGTGACAAAACCTTGACCATGAAGCCTAAACCCAAACCCCAAAGCCTACCCTCCACATCCTACAAAAAGAAACTTGAAATTTAGATCTGGGACTCTCAGCTTCTGCTGTTTTATAACCCCGGGGATCCGAGCATGCAGCTCATACATAATACTCACTTTGGACCTTAAAGTCTGCAAATATCACCTATTCTGGGCTACCTGGATCCCTAAAATAAGTCCACTTCGAGACTCCTTTTCCAACATCTCAAGAGGGCCCAGGGCTTTTATTTCAAGACCAAGCCCAACCAATCCGAAAGCCTAACCTGAATCCCTATAAGGCCCGAAACACGTAAGAATTAAGCCCAACTCCTCAAAAATCCTGAACCCTGCAGCCCCAAATGGCTGTTTCTCTGGATAGGGGGAGGGCTCCCAGAAAGGTAGCCCGAATTTTGGGCAACCAAATGTGCAGGAAATTGTGGCCTGGCGCAGAGGTGAGGACACCGAGGAGGGAAAGCAGAGCTCTGGCAGCAAGACTGGTTGCTCTCCCCATTTCGCGGTTGCATGTCTAGACTCTTGCACATCCCCAGGGATCCAAATAGCCCAGTGTAGATGATATTTACACACGTTTGGGCCCCATGTAGGTAATTTGGGGAATTCCAACTACACGGATTATGCAAGGATTGCAGGGTTTCGTCTTGGACTATGGGTGTCAAGGGTTTAGAGTGAGTAGTCCTTCGTGAGCAGGTAGAATTCCGGGCATGCATCTAAGCTGTTATGGCTGGGGCTTTGGGTTTAGGTTCTAGGTTCAACTTAAGGAGGGCTATCTACTCTAAACCCTGAATTATGTCCTTAGCCCAACATGCGCATGGAGATCATCCCTACAACTTGCGGTGGGGCAGAGGGGTGGGGGGGGGGGGGGGGGGGGCAAGTTGCTACCCCATAGACACCCCTGAAGGCCTAAACCTGAACCCCATACCCCAATAAATCCCTCAACCCTAAAGTCGCAACCCTAAACCCTAAACCAAAAAACATTATCAAGTACATCCCAAGTCCAGAAAAACTATCCATAAGATGAGCTACAATCAAGATTGTTTGCATAATTTGATGGACACAGGTTCCTTATTAGGGAATATATTAAGGACTGGACTAAACTACAGGAGGGGTCTCTATGACCACGATTAAGGGTACTTTAACAAGTCTAGCATTGACCGTAGTGGTAGCTCATATGAGAACCCCAAAGTTCACGAGCAGGCGGCTAAGGTATCCTCACCCCTCTGTAGTGGCAACTGAGGGAACGGATCCCTATAGCAATCCAATATGACCCCAAGGAGAACCTGTGTGATAGCCCATTGCCTCAATAATGTAAACCCATGATGAATAACCCCCCTCCTTTTAAGGGCGTTGATATCAGGATCTCTATTACAATCCCTATTTAGGGGAGGAGGTTTATGAAAGGATCTGCATTAGGCCCTCAAGCCTCTGAAATCAAAAGCCCTCGGCCCAAAAACCCAAACCCCAACACACTAGACCCTGAACCCTAAACTCTAAACCCTCAACCCTGAACCCTAAACCCTGATCCTTCAACCTCTGAACCCGATCCATGGCAGCCCAAGGGCGCTGATCGCCCAGAAGATCAACGCCACATGCCATCCCGAACCTCCGCAACAGCAAATGTTTTAGGATTTTGGAGTTTAGGGTTAAGGGTTTGGGGTTTAGGTTTTAAGGGTGTAGGGTTTGGGATTTGGGGGCTTGAGATGTGTAGGGTCTGGCCGTAGAGTTTATAAAACTTAGGCTTTGTGATTGTGGGTTGGCCTAAAGCCAAAAAGGAACGGCTCATCTTTTGGGCTTTTCTAAGGTTGAAACCATGGGATTAGGGTTTAGGTTGAAACCATGGGCCCCTAGTATGGCCCCTTAATCCTGGGATCCTTATGTGCCGTGTAGCCTATATGTGCCCTTAAGAGGTCCCTAGAATCCGCCTGAAAGGCCCGAGAGCCCATATTAGGGGCCCATACTTCTAACTTTCGAGCTTTACAGAAGGGGCTTGGAGATAGGGGGAGCATATAGCAGGTCTTGTTGCATATGGATTGTATAGACAACATGTGGGATATTGAAACTTCAACCATAAACCTCAAGCCCGATTACGCGACATGTCCTCACCAGCTAGATAGGACTCCATGATGCTAACCTAACCCTAAATACATTAGACCGCTACTTCAAGTGAGTCACTTAAAGCCTTCTTTGTAACGATAGTTACAGAGTGGTCAACTACTTCTCACCATGGTTAGTTGCCTGAAGGCCTGCAGCTGGGCAATGATTGCGAATTTTGCCTATGTTTCAAGGATCACGGCCCTCCAAACGGCGTTTATGCCCAAACCCTAAGCGCCAACCCACCCTAACCCGAGACGAGTAACGAACCCTAAGCGCCAAACTACCCTAACCCGCGACGAGTTGCGAATCATAAGCGTCAACACTTTCAGCCGCCCCGGCGTCATCCAGGTGTGGGACAGGAAGATGTCGAACCCAGTCACTGGCTTCCTAATCAAGGTTTGTGGGTTTTGGTTTCAAAGTTTAGTTTTTTTTTTTTTTTTTTTTTTTTTTTTTCTGCGCCTCTTTTCACGGGGGGGCGACATACCATCTGGCAGGTTTAGGGTTTAGAGTTCAGGGTTTAGGGATTAGGATTTAGGGTCTACGGTTCAGGGCTTAGGGTTCGGGGTTTAGGGTTTAGGGTTCAGGGCTTGGCAATGAGGCTTCAGCAGTGAGGGTTCGTGGACCTTTCAAAGGCACCCCTCCACATGCTGTCGGTATGCATGAGCTAGAGTCTAAACTCCGAGTATCCCTCTGAATAACCCCTATTGTAGGGTTTAGGGTTTAGAGTGTAAACTCCTAGTGTCCCTGTACTAGCTCCTATATAACCCCCTTTACACACCCCTTTTAAGGAGTTTACACTATAGCCCCCAAGTTTTTCATCAGTGGACCCTAAACCCAAAATCAGAACCAACAGAGAGGGGCGTCGGGATTCCCCTATGATTAGGATTACAAGCTTGGGTAACCCTAAACCCTACAAGCAGGACCCCGACAGTCTGACTGACTGGGGTGGTTTGGGGGAGGGCTAAGTTACTGAGGCTCAATCCATGACATGGGAAAGACACTGCCACGCTGGATCCACATATGAGCTTTCGTCTAAACTCCTAGTATCCCCCTTAATAACCCCTATAGTAGTCCCCTATATACAGTAATCCCCTATATAATCCCCTTTAAAGAGTTTAGACTATAGCTCATATACAACTATTGGGCAATCAGTCCGCTCTGGCGCTTGTATTCTGCTGCCATCTGGCGGGCCACGACAGTCTTGTCCTTGGCAAGGTCATACCTCGAGTGTACCTGAGGCATGATGTCCATGATGCGTTCGAGAGCAGAATTGGCGATGCCATGCTTCTTGCGCAGCTGCAGGCTTTGAGACCTGGGTTCAGGGTTGAGCGGAATCAGCTGGCACAAAGATGCCTGTGACGCTCAAGAGAATTCGTCGCCATTCTTGCAGCAGGCTTGGGGCCTTCTTCTCGGTCGCATACAATGGTGGCGGTGATATATCTGGACCCTCTTCGTGATGCAGCATGCTCCCGAACAATAGGTTCCTCCAATAGTACCACAACGCATCCTCGTCTGCAAACTAACCTCACCCAAAACGACATGTAACCTAATTACAGCAAGCGTAACTTCAGCACAATGGTCTCTGCCGGAAACGTTATTTGGATGAGGAACTGGGAAGACGTTGTTAAATTGAAGCAGTTGAAGTGCTGGGGTAGGGGACAGACGCGCGATGCTTGCGGTTCGGGGTTCCTATACACGGATTAGATTCTAGGGTTTGGGGTTCTTATACAGCAGAACCTCGATAGATGTACGTGGTCTCCCCGACTAGGTGCGCAATCTATACACTAAGACCGACCTCCAACCATCCCTAAACTAATTTGCCCGAACTTATGATATATTCCTGCCTCATTTTGGATTTCCTAAGGAATGATATAGGGGACCTAAATTATCAAGGGGGATACATATGGAGAGAACCGTGCCGCGAACGTGTGAGGATCCCTAACATGGACCAATATATTGCAGAACCCAACTACCCAACGCATGTTCCACCAAGATTCGACTTTGTCCACAACGTTTGGCGTCCAGCCTACAAAGCGTGTTTTCAAACAAAGGGAGAGACAATCTCAGACTGTAGACCTTCCCCCAACTCTAAACGCTACAAATCCTAAACTCAGTTTTGATCCCGGAGTCTAAATCTCAATGCCTGAGCCCTTGTGGAGAGCTTTGGGCTCAGTACTTGTGGGCCTATGCGCAGGTGTAAAGTTGATTTCATGGGCTTCGGTTCATGTTCAAGCTGATCGTTAAGGGCTGACGACCAAGGGTTCAAGGTTTTGGTTCAACCCTAAACCCTCAAATTCCTTGCCAACATCTGGCATGACGTTTGCATGTCGAGGCCCAGGTGACCTTTAGTCCAACGCCAGAGTCTAAGCTCCTTGTATCCCCCTGAAGAACCCTAGGGTTTAGAGTTCAGTGTTGAACTCCTTAGGGTTTAGGGTCAAACTCCTAGTATCCCCCTGTATGTCTCTATACTACGTACTCCCCTATATACGCCCCCTTTAAGGATTTTAGAGTGTGGCTTATGTAAGTCATCACCTTCTAAACCCCCTTTTTCATGCTGAACCCCTCAATCCTCTACCATCATATGTTTGGCTGGGTCAACGTAGGTGGTTGCAGCTTGGTTCCTTCTCGGGTGGGGCTGGTTGTTGGGCGGGCTCGTCTTTGCCTCAAGGGGACCCTATAAGTCCTTATGCTTTGGTCCTTTTCCTCAACTCGGCTGCTACTGATGTGGCTACAATGGGGTTAAAGCAGTCCTTGTTTTTGGATGACCGTATCCTGGTTGCCTCTACGGTGCCTAGGCTCCTTGCCGGTTGGAGGCGGTGGGGTTGGTGGTCCCGTCATTTGGGCTTGTGTGAGAATGATGACAAGCGCGTTGCTTTGGCTCAGTCGGATGGGCATCGGCATGCTTTCCTTCGGGCAGGTTTTCGGGCTGACCAGGTTAAGCACCAGATCCGTATCTTGGGGGTTGACTTCGTGGTTCCGGGCAGAGGGGGTCCTGGTGACACTTCGCTTCAGCGCTTTGAGGAGAGCATTATCCTTGTTGCTAGACTGGCTCGGGCTGGTGTCGGGGTTGATCTTAGGCGCCGGCTCTTCAGTAGCCGTGTGGTCTCCAAGCTCTGCTGGGGATGGTGGCTTCAGGGTTTTGAGAAAAGCAGACGCCATTCTTTTTTCCAGTTGTATCGTACGGTTGGAGCAGTGCAGCAACAGAGCGCTGTGCCGCTTAGACTGATCTTGGACGGGCATCAGCTTTGCCCACAGTTTCGTGCAGTATCTCAAGCAGTGTCTGAACTGGGTGTCGCGGCTCGTGCGGGCCTTACTTGGCAGCGACCCTTAAACGCGTGGGCCTCAGCAGTTCACAAACAGCTTGGAGCCTGGGGCTGGCAAGGGGCAGGGCCTTGGCAGTGGAGGCACTCAGTTGCAGGACATATCAATGTTCGTGACGATGCAAAAGGCTTAGTCCAGCATGCTTTGCGGGAGTCCTGGCGTGCTTTCCAGTGGCAGTCCTTCACAAGGGCTGATCGCCGGGACAGTAGGACTCTGAGGGATGTGCAGTATGAGCCTGACAGACTCAAGCTTGCCATGAATCTCTTTCAGAAGGGAGGCCAGGACGAAAGAGCGGTTTTGACCGGAGCCGCTTTGAGTGAGCATTTTACAGTGTTGCTTTAGAGCAAAATCGGTTTTTTCGGTGCCCGTACTGTCGCACAGGTAGCGTACCTAGTTAGCAGCATGTCGCCTGGGAGTGCCCAGGAATCTGGCGGCCACAGTGTAGACCGTATGACATTGTTCAGGCCAGGCTTGGGTGGCCTCACCATTCGTTGCCGATGCCACAGAACGCCGAGGTTTTGGCTCATCTGGGCCGTGTTCGGAAGCTCACAAGGAATCGGTGCCTCCCTCGGGGGGGTGTCAACTAAGGTCCTAGGCCTCAAGGGTGGCCTGTCCAAGGGCGGCGTCATCCTGGCACCACAGTGATCGATACCATTATATGTGAAGAATATTTGGTATTGGGGTGGTGGGGTTGTGTTTGTTGTTAGTAGGAAGTGGCTGAACCCCACCCCCTGCGCCATCCGGTAACCCTACAGCATACACTACACGATATGCTTCAAACCCAAGGCCTGAAACCTATACCTTAGGTGGACCCCCCACCCAGTAATAGTGACTGTAACGGATAATCAGGACTATATTGAGATCCTCTTATATTCCTGGTATACCACTATTACAGGGTGGGGGGTCCACCTAACCTATACCCTCAACTAGACATTCTACCCTGCAAGTTAACTAACAAGGAATGAAGGAAGGGATCCTTATTCGTAGCCCCTGCACAACCTCGATGCTATGGTAGTTGGCATTTCTTTTTCACCCTGAATCCTAAACCCTAAACCTTAAACCCTAAAACCCTACAGCCTAAACCCTAAAACCCCAAACCCTAAACAAGAGGTAAGCACACCCAAGACCTGAAGGCTCAGGCCCCCAACCCGAAATGGTACTGCAAACCTCCAAACCATGCCCCCTCCTAAGGGCCCAAGTGCTTTAAGGTCTTAAGGTTTGGAGTATAGCACGGTTTGGGCTTGGGGTTGAGTTTATGTTTTGGGTGTGAGGGGTTTAGTGGTTGGGGTTTAGGGCCTAGGGTCCACGTCCCAAAAAGGATGTAATGTGAGCCCAAGTTTGTGTTTCAACCAACCCAAGGGGTATCATACTTAAGGAGTATTTCAAGCAACCCCCCACATGGCTCGTATATCGATTAGGTTGGGCCCACCCAATAATGGTGGTATTTTCAGACTCGATAAGGACATTACTCAGATTATCAGCATCCCTTGTGCTCAGTATTAGTGGGTGGGGTCCCAACCTATTGTATAGATGTGTTAGCCCCAGTAATCCTAAACCCTCAACCCCTTGACCGCCCAAATATAAATACCCTCTCCAACAAGGGTTCAAGGGTGTAGGGGTCTAGGGTTGGTTTAGGGACTATCCTTAACTACAAACGAACACGCTCTCAGAGCCCCTACGCCCTAGACTTAGGCCCTAAACCCTAAGCCCTCAATATAAACTTTCCGACAGCCCAGAAAACTAATACCCTAAACTCCTAAACCCCAGAGACAAAAAGTGGGGCCTGCTACAAGTCCCACCAGTACCAAGCATGACATGGATACACATCCTGTATATACAGCACTGCGGCTTCCTCAAAAAAAAGGCAATTCAACGAAAGTTCCTGACGAGCAGCAGAGACAACTTAAGGACGGAGCCCGTTGCCTCAAGTCCAAAAACCCTCAAAAGCCCAAATCCCAAACAGAGCCCTGAAACCCAACAAATGACTACCCGCAACCCCAAAACCAAGGCCCAAAACCATAGCGTCGTGGCCAAGAGGCCCTGAATTGTAAACGCTGAGCCCCAGAGACAGCATGCGTTGCCTCCTTCAAGTCTATCGGAGACCATCGCCAAAGACTGCCGAAGTTTTGTAGCGAGCGGCGCAAAGAGATTCCACGGATGATTTCCTGAGGGTTTAGGGTTTAGGGGTTTAGGGTTAGCGGTTTAGGGTTTAGGGTTTAGGGGTTAAGGGTTTGGGTTGGGTACTGCCCCCCCCCCCCAGGTACAGTCTACATTAGGGGTCCTATTAAGGGCTATATATAACCATATCATAATTATTATCCAACTGTTACTGAGGGGGGGCAGTACCCAAGGTTTGGGCATTTAGGGGGTTTATTGTTTAGGGTTTAGGGATTTAGGGTTTGAGGGACTTAGGAACCCTAAACCCTAAACCCTAAACCCCAAACCCTAAACCTTAAACCCTGAAGTTGTTTAGGATTTAGGGTTTTAGGGTTTGAGGGACTTAGGGATTTAGGAGGTAGAGCTGGAGAGCGTAAAGGGCCCTTATTTGGTGCATAGCGGCTTGTAGGCGTTCATGGGATTTCACGGTTTTTACAGGCGTCATAGAATGTTTGCCCTAACACCCTAAACCCTATGGGGCTTGGGGCTTACCCTGTAATTGAACCCTACACCCCAAAACCGTAACACAGGCAACCCCCCCGGCGCGTAAAGCCTTAAACCTAAAACCTAAACCCTAGGCCCTAAACTCCATAAACAATCAACCCCTTCGGGGCCTAGGTATATACCAAAGAGCTACATGGACCCTTTGATGATAACCCCAGCCATACAGCCCAGAGTCCGTGTCCACCTCCAGATGTCCCATCTTCTCGAGACGGCTGCTCCTGCTTCCCGTAGGGGCACAAAGGCTCTGTGGCGAGACAGCTGGGTTGCTATCAAGGAACTTAAAGAAAGAGTCAGGAATCCCTATCATGTACTATATAGAGCCCCCTTAAGTAGATTGAATATGGGGTATATGGGGATCTTTTGATGATATACCCAAAGCCACATTCTATCTACTTAAGGGGGACTGTGCCCATTTTAGGGTAGCTTGATTTAACTTCCTTAACAGCAACCCAGAGAAGTCAGGGCATGATCAGAAACTTCAGGCGTCAAGACCCCGAGGTTAAATCCCAAACCACAGAAACCCTTGACCTCCCCCTACTTGGAGGCTCATGGGAGTTAGCAACTACTTATAACTGGGAGTCTAAACCTACTCATAACTGGGGTAACCCTTATAAGCCCATTTAGGGGAATTATAAGTAGGGTTATAAGCCAAGTTATAAGTGGTTACTAAGCCCCATGAGCCTTCAAGTAGCCCTCAGGGTTTAAAGGTTTAGGATTTAGGGTTTAGGCACACTCAGACCACCAAGAATCCAAATACCCTCCAGAAAAGCTACAGAAGCATTGCAGATATGGAAGTGAGATGGGAAAATCAGCAAGCATGCTAGCTGACGCAGGATGATAGTATATGGAGTCTGTATTAATTAAGGTCCCCCTATTCGTTGAAACTACCACTTATTATCCCCCGTATAATCCAAGGGACTTGTCCCCGTAAGCACCCTAAATCCTAAAACCCTAAGCCTAAACCCCAACCCCACACCCTAAACCCCACAATAGATCCCCTAACATAACCCCTATATATTCTAGTAGTTTCCAATTTTTGCATTA